TTTTTTCTAATTTTTTTTAAATTTAATCATTTTTGTAATGTGTTATATATTATATTCATATTTGAAGGAAAAAAACTAAAATATAATAGATAAAATGAAGAAAAAAAATTGAATTAATTTTAATGAGTTTAGTTTTTTAATTTAAATTACCAAATTTATATAAAAAAAATAAACATAATTTTTTATTTAACATTTAAGATATTTTCAGACTAAATTTTGTGCAGCAAAAACAAACATTCTCTCTGTTCTGTTAATAATAAATATTTAAATTATCTAAAATTTTAATTTTTAAATCATCAATATAAAAAATAAAATTTCCCATTATTCAAAATTTAAATTGAATAAAATGGGATATTAGAACTAAAATTAAGAGAATTCCAGTTTTTGCCCACTGGTATGGAATAGGGAACTGGGCAGCAGCTGGCATCCCTTTTATATATATATATATATATATATATAATTAATTAATTGAAAAAGTAGATGGGTTTCTAACTTTTTATATAAAAAAATAAATTAATAAAGATATTTTTAATATAAAATTTTTAAAATTAATTAATTAATTAATTAAAATGTAGATGGGTGTGTAGCTTTTAATATAAAATAAAACAAAGAAAGATATTTTTTTAACATTAAAAAATTTGAGAATTGGCTTAAAGTGTGTGGTAATGATAATTACTTCATTGGATAAAGGGTAGATTCTTTTGCCTTTCCTTCTCTTGCTTTCTTTACAAGTTGCCAGTTGGGAACCAACCCTCCCTGTCCACATATATTAATTTTGATGAGACTTGTTATAAATTTTCACTTTCAAAATAATAATTATTCCATTAACATCATATATTAATTTGATTTACTCATACTAATGATCATATACTATTTTTTTTCTTATATATTAATTAGTTGTGTAGTTGCAAACTAATGAATATAAAAGATATTTGTGTTAAACAAGCTAGAAAGATATCTATAGTCAATTGGTCGAGAGTTGTCGGAGATAATTCACTAATATTTTTTATTACGTCAAAAGTTGTTTATAGATAGAAAGAAGTAAACATGACAATAAATTATTAATCAAATATAAAGAGTTAAAGAGAAGAGGTATGACATGACACAACAATCATACTATTTTTATATACTTGATATAATATTTCAAGAAATGAATCTCTTGACTATAAATTTTAAAGATATTATAAAATTTAAATTATTTTGTGATTTAAGCATCACATAATTTACTAACTATCATCGACTAATGTAAATTTCAGAAGAAAGCTCTACAAGTACCGTTAAACTTCAAGTAGAGGAGTCGAAAGGAAGATGTTAATGGAGGGTGGTGAAATTATCGAAGTATATGCATTTAATGTCATTGTAACTATAAGAAGTTATCACTATCATATTGATTCTACTATTACTATTATTATTATTACTGTCACTATTTTTATCATTAGTACCATCATCAATTAATAGAAAATAATATATTAATCTAGTATACTATCATACTCATATTTTATCTAATAATTCTAAATACGCAGTATGATCAAATTTAACCTATACATAAATAGTTGTACTCTATTAATTATTGTCTTTACAAAACTCATATTGTCAAAAATAATTTAAATATATAAATTGAAGATATAATATTAGAGCATGTCATAATTAGTCATTGCAATCTTTTTATACATTAAATTTTAAAATACATATTTACTATTTTTTTTTTAAAAAATACATGTTATAAAACTAACAACATATAACTTATATACTAATATTCATTATTATGTGTATTGGGGGGATTCCTCTATGATGATGCAAGTTCATTTTTTTCTGCTAAAGAAATATAATATAATATATAGTATTATTACTTTGTTTTAATTATGATGTTAGTTTTAGGTTACAGCTGAAATAGGAAACTGATAATAATAACTTTTGTCTTTTTTTGGTGTAAAATTTTAATTATGTGGAAATGCTACTAGAAGAATATCTTTTATGATTTTTTTTTTTAAAAAAAATTAAAAAACAACTATAAGTAGCAATTATTTATTTATTCAGGATTATTTTAAAGTTTTCATTATTTGATATATGATATCACCTGCAAATTATTAATATATAATTTAATTATTAAACCTATCTTGTCATGCTATATTGTGGGATGCATGAAATTTAGTGTATGCATGCACCCACCTTAGTAAGTAATAATTAGTATAAAGAAGAAATGATGACTTAAACTAATGAGTAAGGGATTAGTATAAAAAAGATTTTATTATAATTAATATAAAAATGATTTGTTTAATTTGTTCCCTATTTACATGTACACACACACACACACACATATATATATGTATATGTTTTTTGGTGTAAGAGTGAGATTTTCATACATCAATGGGGATATACTTACATTAGAGAATTCACCCATTACAATCATAATGTATGTATATAAATTACTTTTGGTACCTTTCCTAATGAGTTGTATGTGATCAAAATTATTTATTAAATTTATGAAGAGAAATACATGTATATAGAGTTGACAATTAATTAATTCAACCATTGAGATGACTCAATTGACAAACATTGTTGGAGCTTTGCCATCAACACTTGCCAAGGTAGCGCAAACATCTAATTCATCACCTGAAGATGACGATGAACTATGAGATTCATCAGAGTCCTCAGAATCATATTGATCTGATAAATTAGATTGGAGTGATTTAATAGTTAGAGGCGACGAACTAAAACTTGTGTTACTGTTGAGAAAATGAAGCTTCTTTTCGTCGTCTTCTCTCATCATTTGACTGTAGGCCACACAATTAAATCCATTTGTATTTTTACCACCAAACGCAGATTCTAACTTATCCATGTCGAACAATTCTTGCATCAATATTTGACTATGAGGATTATCAGAATGAACAAACTTCACCTTTCTATACGTCTTTTGTTCCAAAAATGGTTTCACCATCTATCATCACACAACACGAACTTCCATCAAAATCTATTATTAACTCCCTTATTATCTATATATAATATTTATTTCTTTTTTGGACAATAAGTATAACTTTTCATGTTCAATTACTAGTAACTCAATAATTTTAAAACACAAACCACTACCTGTTAAATGATCAAAACACAAATTATTGATACATTGTGAATTGAATCAATATATAAATTTTAAAAATCACATTTTTTTTTATATGCAATTAAACATATTTCTAAATTTTACTTTTTGAACTGTGCATGCATGTATACATGTAACCACTAAAAAATGTTGGAATAAGAAGTGTATATATATAGTATATAGTATATATGTATATATATAATTACCGTCCAAAAGGATTCAAAGATTTTAGGAGGGTTATAGAAGATAGCAAGTCCAAGTCTCTCCGGGTAATGGTGTTGCAAGAGATGAGCAGCTTCCCTAGTCTGCTTGACAGAAATGCAACCCATTTTCCAACCTTGAAAATCAATCAGCCACACCATTTGCTCCTCATCTGTCTTCACGTTCATTGTTGCATTTTCCATGCAGTATACCAAGTACTTTATATGCCCTCCGCATGATGATGAGCTTTTACTTTGAGTACCCTGTCACATTATATACACAAATATATCATGTTTATCCAAATTATACACACATATATATGTATGTACCTGGAGACCTGGTCTCATGATAAGCACAATCCTCCCATTCTTGTCACAGAAATTGGCACGGTAAACTTTTCCTGTCTCAGCTTCATCAACAACATCTTCCTACCACACATAAGAAGGTAAATTCCACATAAAATTATCTTTTGAATTCTGTTTTACACACACACACACACACATATAATAGACATAACTATTTACAGATATAATAGACACCACATATATAATAGACATTAAAAGCTGAAAGCAAAATGAAAAACAAAAAATTACCCATGTAATTTTCTCTGGTTTGGATTGCAACCTCCACTTCAAAGTTTCTTTCAACATTTTGGCTGCCTTTTTTGTATTCCAATTTCTTGCTCTTAGGTATCTTGATATGGATTCGTCAGAACAAAACTCTGGTAGCTTATCAGCAATACCACCTATAATCTTTTTCACCTCATTGATCTGATCATTAATTTATTGAAACATTTCAATTCATCATTGATTTACGCATGGAAATAAATCTAACTATTTGATTATCTTTTTCTCGATA